AAGATGCGCGGACTTCAGGTCGCATGTATCCCCTCCCACCGCCATCTAAACATGCATATCCTTGAGCCAATCTAAAGGTGGATGGGCCGGAAAAGAATAAATAGTAGGAAAATGTTCCTGATGCAAAATGTACAAGAGAAAAGAATATATAAAGTGGTTAGGATAATATAGAAATAGTATAGGATTCTGATGTAAAATTTTCTTCTATATTTAGGAGTGAATTATTGGAAACTGTTAGAGACGATCTTATTTATTTCTCTCGGTACTTTTTGGCGAGTTGGAAAACTCTATGGTATTGGGAAGAAAATATTGAGAACTCTTGGAGATGCTCTTAGATGGTTTTTATTTGTTCTTAATACTAGTGACAATCTGCTTCGTTGTTTCTTTTCGATGCTTTTGTGAGCCCCCGCTATCTAACAAAATTCTAAGAAAACGGACAAACAAGAGTTACAATTTAATTATAAGAAAATGTTCCCATGTTCACCCAAAGAAAAAACTGAATTGAATCAAATTATAAGTAATCTGTTTTTTTGTAGAACCTTATTAAGGTTCTTGGAATAAGATCAATTCTAGGATCAAAATAGTTTTTTTTGTGAGACCCGATTCTGAGCACGCAGACGCCACATACACGAAGCTTACACTCACCCTGAATTGAATCAAAATCTATGTAATGTATTTCTTTTAGAACCTGATTGCTAAAACCTTATCTTGGAATAAGATCAATTCTAGGGATCCAAATATCCTATTTATTTTGCGAGACCAGCTATAGACACATGCGCTCACATACACCAGTGCACACTCACTCCTATGAACGCATGCACGCAAACCCTACCCCTATGAGCACCTTCGAAGAATTGAGTTGGACCGACAAATGTCGAGATTGATGAAGTCACTACAGGCGCTTCGTTGTCGACGGACACGTGCCTACCACTAAAATAATAGCGCCAAATCCTACAATAAATTCAGAAAAAATGCGAGCACCTATGTCAGGTCGATGACTTAAACTTAGGTTCCAACCAGCTGAGTAGCGCTCAGTTCACGGATCCAAACAGCCCTTATGTGTTCACTGTAGTAAGAATGTGTAGCTTTTCTGTTCCATCTGCTCTTTACTAAATTGAATCCTCACTGGCTCACTATCACTATCTGTTACTCTTTGCGGCATCAAGCGATTTGTGTTCTGTCCTATATAGAATTGAACCAAAATTTGTTGTTTGTCCTTATAGCAAATGCCTCTATCTATGCTTGATGGTGCTGGTTTTGGTCACATGTTGGCTGATTCCTTGGTGATCGGGAACATGGTGGTGAGTTTTTGCTTTAGTTATCGGGGTTTATGATGTATCAAACTTTGTAATTTCGTTGAACAAGTAATGAAATTCAGTGTTATCGTTGTGGGAAACAATGCCTCTATCTAAAACTAACGTTTCGGTTAGAACAACCGAAACTATTATGGCCCCGTTCGCTTGTCTTAAAATCCGGCTTGTTCGGTTTCTTTTTTTTCAGTCGGAACAGTATTTTTCTCTCACAACAATTCAACCGGAACAGTGTTTGGGCTTGTTTTTTCAACCAAATTCAGACAAGTGAACGGAGCCTATATTAGAAAACGAAAACTAGGCCCGTATGGATCCTTAGAATTGAATTTATTTTAATAACCATAATTTAGAAACATATTAATTAAGCTAATATGATTATATATAGATTATATTTATATATTATTGTTGGCTATACGAGAGAGATACTTATATATTGTATTTCTACCGTAGGGGAGTGAGTGGAAGAACATATTATGAATTGCAAAGTAGAAATATAGAATGTTGATATGTAGAATCAACTTACATCTCTCACCTTATAAATTTGAAGTAAGTTTATATGTGAACTTTGGAAAGTAATAGAATACCAAATTTCAAGCTAAATAGCCTAGTTTATTAAGTAGATTTTAATTCCTCCACATGAAAAGGATCCAAATGGCATCTTATATGAATTTCCGTGATACGTCAATGGGGTGTCTTCCTCGTGTGCAGATCTCATTCTTTATATGGTTTGTGAACGGTGAAACTGGCCGCATTGTATTTGTCAATTGCAAAGCTTCAGAACTAACTGCATTCTCTATAAGCTTATATGTTGCATTAACTGATCTCTCCCTCTACTTATAAGAGCATCTCTAAAATCTACTCTCTAAGTTATCATTTTGAGAATTATTTGAGCAAATGTCGTTTTCCATATATTTATATTTTTCAACATATTTTTTATCTTGTACGCAGTTTAGAGAACAATTCTCGCTCTTTATCTTTGGCTAGCGAGAAACTCAGAATAGAGGATATCTACATTTAGATATCCAATTGAAGTGACTGTTTGAGGGTAATTTATTTTACCAAAATCTCTAATCCTATAAATTCGAAAAGATGTAAAAAGTCTCTTGGAGATTCTCTAACACGATTGGTAATTTGTATATTGCTCTGAGGGACCTCCCAAAGAAATTTGCATGCATCTTAAAGCAACTTAATGTTAATTAAATCTTCATAATTAATTTGTCTACGGGTTTATCCATACCTGCGTTGAGTCCAGCCCATGTACACAAAAATATTCTGGACCCAATCTGCTGCTGTCGTTTCGCCTGTTCTTTCGCACGCGTGTTGAGCGATGTTGTAGCGCCATTTCATCCAACCAGATGGAGACACAACCGAGGATGCACGGCGGTGCAAGCGGCAGGTGTGGCGGCAATTGCAGACGGAGCGTGCTGCGTGCGAGCAGCGAGCAGCGCCCAGCAGCACGTCGCGGCACTGAACCCGGCCGGCCGCTGCGCGCGGCGCGCTCGCACCCTGCTATGGTCCGGTGTCTCCTAGCCGTGTGGCGTGCCGATGCGCCGTGCTTGCCGCCTGCCGGGAGTATATGTTTGTACGTCTGAGCCGCCCCCTACCTGGCGCTGCTCGCCCGCTCCCTCTGCACCACAACAACGCTGCCAAACCAAATGGCTACCAAAAAATTGACTTGTCTGAATTTTGACAACTAAATTTTGGCCATCAACTAATCAGGTCCTAAAACAAATCACTTACAATTCTTTTGTGCAATACTACCAATGAAGTGATGAAGCACAAGAAAGAGAAACTGAGAGCAAATCCACTCAGGCATGGGTTGGCAGAGGACATACCCCATGCCAGTGGTGGGGAGCTCAAAAAATAGAAAGGTTAATAAGCGATGAATGGGTTTGTATCTTACGAGGACGCCGTCAGAGATGACTATAGGAGGGCAACTGGGCAAGCAAGCGAGTAGGGCACTATTGCACCATGTGAGGAAAAAAAGGGCAGTGCTACCACCTGGACATCTGGACGTCTGCGCCTACACTCCGTTTTGCACGCCACTTGGGGGCCGTGTCACTTGAGCCCACGCCGCTCGACCCCACGCGGGGACCGCTTACGCCTCCTCCGCTTCCCCCACCGGACGTCTACGCCTGCTCGGCGGTGCCCCAATAGCTGCAGCAGGCGGCTGCGGCAGGTGGGTCCCCAGCAGCATTACTAGATATACTTTTGCAACATCCAGATAAAACACTTGCAACATATGTATGAAACAGCTGAAACACTTGCAACATACGTCTGAGATACTTGCAAAAACACCTGAAAACACTTGAAAAACAATTGCAAAACATATACAATATATAGATAAAGCACTTGAAACATATGTGTGAAATATATGCAACATCCAGATAAACACACTTGCAACATACGTCTGGAAAATAGATGAAACATTAGGAACAGACTCTTTCAATATACGTGTACAACCATTATAACATATGCAACACCCCGATCTCCGATCTCTTTTCGCAACATCCATATGAAATACTTGCAACACACCTCTGAAACACTTGAAACGTACACTTGCAACATGCGCTTTCAAGCGTAATATTTAATTACTGCTTGGACGAATGGAGGCTCGTCAACGTGGAGCTCGACGCCGGTGCGGAACGTAATGCTGCGGAGTGGCACGAGGGGGGAGGGGGTGATGCCATCAGGCGGGAGACTGCGCGGCGCCCGGCAATAGGGCAGGCGGGTGTGGTCCCTTGCGGTGGAGTCGACAACGCCGGCCAGTTGCGCTGTCCCGCAGTGAGCGTCCCTCGCGCTGGAGAAGGTGAGCGGTGGACAAGCGACGCGGTGGAGTCTACCGCGTCGGTCAGATGGCGTGGTGAAAAAGGCCACGACACGATAGGAGAAATGGGAAATCAACATCCAGTTTTTTTTATGAAGAAGTAGTGAGGGGAGCAGGCGTATTAGGCTCCGCAGGCTTAGGAAATGCGCGTGTCAACGGACGGACGTTCTGAGAAGAACGTTACCGGGAAAAAAAAGTCGTCAAATGAGAGGACGTAGAAAACTCGACAATACTTTGGTTGATAACAGTCCAATTTAAATAGGGAGGGCTTCTATCTCTATAAAGCAACTGCTTTACAACCTACTATGCCTAGAGCCTCATTTGAGTGTATGAAGCTGATTGGAAGGATGGGAGAGAACATTAAGAATGGTACTAGGCTTTCTACGAATGGTGAACCATAAATAGCAGAGAGTAGTGGAAATTTATTATTACTATAAAATTTTCAGAGTAGTGGAATAATTTGTTATGGCAGAAAGTATAGTATTGTTCTTTGGTCCAACATTCATGGGATATTTGTTTGGAAGAAATTGTTTTTTTTTTTTGCATGTGCAGTAAGCATCGCACGTGTCATTAGCTAGTACGGAAATGAACTCGGTGTCGGTGAAACAGCCACGCACCACCACACGCGTTCAACAGAAGTCACCAAACCCCCCGGCCCACGAGCTAGCGGAGGTTCAATAGAGTATTCGACTTTGACTAAATATATATTAAATAAAATTAATATTTATAATATATAATTAATATTATTAGATAAATATTTAAATTTAATTTTTTAATAAATTTATTTAGTGATAAAAATGTTACACGTATTTTTTTTAAATCGAGTTAAAGTTATCGTTACGTCAGACGTTTAGGGAGGGACGATGCGGACGCGCGGGCCATCGCGCTCGCGTCCCCAGGTGTGGGTTCCCGCCTTCCCGGCTCGATGCATCACCATACGCCGAACTTTCCCCGCTTCTCTGTTTGTTTTGATGATTGACGTCTCAAAATCGCGATCGCATCGCACGGATCAATAGCCTCAACAGTCTCCATCTATCCACGCGCCTCCGCCCAACTCATCTCATCATATATCTCTCGCAGAATCCCAACAAACCAACCATAAAAGCTCTTTGTGCCAGCAGAGCGGATCGGCGATGGCTTGGGTTTAGTAGCTAACACGAAATCAATCTCTCTCCCCTCGCCCGTCCCGTCCACATAGAGGGGGGGCGGGCCGCCGATACTGGCGGTGGAGCAAGGCTAACTTTTCCCGGAACCCTCGTTCCGGAGCTGGCGCGCTCTTGTCCACTGGGCCGCGACTGCGGGACCGCGTCACCAGCCGCTCATCCGAGGCCGTCGAGACGGGGACGCTGCTCGCCCAGAGCGAGAACCCGCTCCGCGGTGCCTGTCGTGGGTGGATCTCGCCTTCCTCGGATTCGGCTCCGTCGTCGGCTCGGGCGTCTTCGTGCTCACCGGCCAGGAGGCGCGCTTCGACGCCGGCCTGGCCATCCCTCTAGCCTACGCCGCTGCGGGCTTCTCGGCGCTGCTCTCGTCCTTCTGCTACGCCGAGCTCGCCACCGAGATCCCGTCCGCCGGCGGCTCGTTCTCGTACCTGCGCGTCGAGCTTGGGGACCTGGCCGCGTTCATCCCCGCGGGGAACATCCTGCTCGAGGCCGTGGTGGGCGCCGCCGGCCTGGGCCGGTCCTGGACGTCGTACCTCGCGGCGCTCATCGGCCGCGACAGCGATGCGCTCCGCATCCACGTGCCGGCGCTCGCTGACGGATTCAATCTGCTGGACCCGATCGCCGCCGTCGTCCTGTGCGCCACCTCCGCGGTCGCCGTGTCTGGCGCGCGCCTCACCTCCACCGTCAACTCGAGCGTGTCCGTGGTCGGCATCGCCATCATCGCGTTCGTGCTGGCCGCGGGCTTCTCGCACTTTGAGCCCGCCAACCTCGCGCCGTCCTTCTTCCCCTTCGGCGCCACGGGCGTCTTCCGCGCCGCTGCCGTCGTGTACTGGTCCTACACGGGGTTCGACATGGTGGCCACCATGTCCGAGGAGACCAAGAACCGCGGCCGCGACGTGCCGCTGGGCCTCATGTCGGCCATCACACTCGTTTACTGTGCCATGTCTCTGGCGCTCGTGGGATGCAGCGGTACAGCGACATTGACGCCAACGCGGCCTACTTGGTGGCGTTCGCCGCGGCCGGGATGAAGTGCGCGCGCTACATCGTGGCACTCGGCGCTCTCAAGGGCATGACGAGCGGCCTCCTCGTCGGCGCGCTCGGCCAGGCGCGCTACACCACGCAGATCGCGCGCACGCACATGATCCCGCCCTACTTCGCGCTCGTGCACCCCAAGACCGGCACGCCCATCTACGCCACCATCGCCGTCACGCTCGGCGCCGCCTGCGTCGCGCTCTTCTCCAGCCTCGACGTGCTCGCGTCCGTCTCCTCCATCAGCACGCTCTTCATCTTCGCGCTCGTCGCCGTCGAGCTCCTCGTCCGACGCTACTACGTCGCGGGCACCACGTCACCCGCGCAGGCCCGCACCTTCCTCGCCTTCCTGGCGCTGATCGTCCTGTCGTCCATCGGCCTGTCCGTGTACTACAACTCGGACTACGTTGCTCGGTGGCCCGGGTACGTGGTGTTCGGCGCCCTGTGGGCGGCCGGCACGGCGGGGCTGGCGCTGTTCGCGAAGCAGCAGCGCGCGCCAAAGGTGTACGGCGCGCCGCTCATGCCGTGGCTGCCGGCAATGTCCGTCGCCACAAACCTCTTCCTGATGGGCTCTCTCGGCTCCCTGGCCTACATGCGCTTCGGCATCTGCACGGCGGCGATGCTTGTCTACTACGTGCTCTTCGGCGTGCACGCCACCTATGACATGGTGCACTCTGAAGGTCAGACGACATCGGCTGCAGACGCTGCCACCGACGGCGTGGAGCAGAGGAAGATAATGCCGGTGTGAGACAGAGGATGTTAATTTCATGGTTAATGGAGCAAAAGGTTTGATTTTTATTGTATGCCATGACAGTGTGAATTTGTAGGATACGCTTGAGTCAGGTTTGTTCAATCGCTCTAGTTAATTGGATCCCTCGTTCAGATTAGCTCATCTGTTTGCTGATTGCTGAAGCAGCTCAAACAAAAAAATTGGTTTGTGCAAAAGATGACATTTTCTTTTGTTCACTTCGTTGTCATCAATTATTTAATTTAAATAATTGATGACAACAAACCTCGTGATTCATGAACGCCTTTGTTGTCATCAATTATTTAATTTAATGTTGTGCTTTGGTTCAGTGCAGTTTGTAGAAAAAACACATACTCCGGGCTGATGATGGAGATTGTCAGAAAGGAGAATCATTACCAATCATATCAACTGTTCTTATTGATGGTCCTTTCAATCAATGCGTCGAAAGCAAACAAAAAAGTATTCCAATTTTGCTAAAAACAAAAGAAAATGTTAAGTCGCCTATAATGTCTGATTTGTTTGCCCTTCAACTTAGTAACACCCCAACTTTGCAAAAGAAAATAAAAGATAGGCTACAATCTGTCGTACTTTTCATACTGACTATTAACTTAAACTAATAAAATATAGTGAAATATTTTATGGTTACACTTGCCTTTTTTTTATAACCAACTTACACTTGCCTTTGGTGAGTTAAAGATCACATGCTTACATTATTTGAAATAAAAGATGGACTACAATATGTCATAGTTTTTCATACTTCTCTGCTTTGTTTTTCAGCTGACTATTAACTTAAATTCATAAAATATAGTGAAGTATTTTATGGTTACACCTGCCTTTGGTGAGTCAAAGATCACATGCTTACATTGATTTTGGGTTTCAGGTGCGTCTTTTTTATTAGTTTGACGGCTCGCTTAGAGAATTAAGAGGCATGCATTTTTTTAATACCATGTTTTCTTTTTTACTAAAGAAATGAGCTGTATTTTCTTAAGTAATCAGGAGGGGCCGTTACTGCTTAGCTTTATTGGAAATGTTAAGAAAATAAGTAAATGCTACAAATAAATTCAGGAAATAGAAAAAATAAAGCATGAAAATAAGCAAGGAAAGCAAAAGACAAAACTATATCTATATCTCTTACTCCATATGTTCCCAATTATAAGCCACTTAGACTTTTTTGGCACATCAAATTTAGTATATATCTAGACCATCGTTATGTCTATATACATAGGCCCCGTTCGCTGGTCTGAAATTTAGTTGAAACTGGCTGGTTTTGTGAGAGAGAAATACTGTAGCGGCTGGTTGATAACAGTGTTACGTGAGAGGATCAGCCGGCTGGTCTGGAACATCCAGACCAGCGAACGCGCCCATAGCAGATTCGACGTATTAAAAAAAAGTCAAAGCAACTTATAAATTGGAACGGAGGAAGTATAAAGCTAATCCTCACTACAAGTTAACATGCAAGTCATCCACATCATCTACCACCAATAGACAATAGTTACGTCATCTCACTAACTTTCAACCTCTTAATACAAGCTATCCACATCATCTCTAGTAAGTGCAATTACTACTTTTAGTATATATGAAATATAAAATATCTTTTATAATTACTAGATTAATGCCCGTGCGAATAATAATGGTTGGGTAATTTAGTTGAACGAAAAGGTGCAACCTAATTACTCACATATGGTCCCCTATACTAACAGGCTCGTAAAAGTTTTTTTTGTAAGCACTCAGTGGCTATTCAGAGAAACAAACATAACATTTCTAATCCTTTTGAATTTAAAAAGATGAGGACACACTAATCTGCGAGTGCTTCTTCAACTAGATTTTGAAGGGACCGATAGTCTCTACACCTAATATATGGGATAGTATGTAAGTTAGTAGAGCTAGTTTGATCAATTCATCAACAATGTATCTATGTAGTTCGCAGTCTGAACACTGCCGTGGAGGAATTTGTGGATGTACAAGTAACTACAAATTAGTTAACCAAGCTATTGGAAAAAGAAAAGGAAGGGAACCTGATCGATTCCCTCCTCAAGCTGCTGTGCGATGATGCTCGATCTGCTCCTCGACGTCTCGGCATACTCCGGCGGTGCTCGGCGTGCCAAGGCCGAGTTCCTGTCCGGATGATGCTCGTCGTGCTCCTCAACATCATGTCGCGCTCCAGCGGCGCTTAGCGTGCCAAGGCCGTGGAGGTGGGTGCTGTTTGCGTGCTCGTGGAGCTCCTTCGCGATGCTGTTAGCCGCGCCGCGTCACCAAGCGCTGGCTCCTCCTGCTCAAGCGCTAGTGCAAGTACCCGGAGCGCTAGTTCGTCTTCACGGAGCACACGCTGACGGAGCACACTCTAAGAGTACTCAATATTTTTTTTTCTAAAAATATGAAGTTTTACAATTCCTAAAAAAGTATAGGGAGGAATAAAGAATGCCATCTCCAAGAGTTTCCAATATTTTTATCTCAAAATTTTTTTGTGCGGCACTTTTTTGTTCCACCGGTCACAGATGTATGATGTTTTGCATCAGGAACTTTGAATTTATTTCTATACCCATTTAAGTCCTCCCACTAGATCTTTCTCTCTGCGCTTTTCTCACCTGGAACCCTGTCTTTTCACCTTTTCCTTTCCCACCCCTTCTACTTCTCATACTCGGAGCGGGGCAACGCGCAGGAGCAGGCGACGGGCGGGGCAAAGCAGACGATACCCCCACGTATTTTTTAGGTGTAGAAGAAGGGCGGGGAACGCAGACGATACGTTTAGTTACTTTTTAAGTTGTAATAGACTCGCAAAGAAAGAATATCTTTTATAAAGTTAATCCCCACTACAAGTTATATCTGAACATTCAAGTCATCCACATCATCTTTCACTAACCATCCACATCATCTAGCACTAATAGTTGTGTCATCCCATTAACTTACAACCTATTAATACAAGCTATTCACGTCATCTCCAATAAGCGCAATTACTCCTTTTATGAAATATAGAAGGAATCCATATACTGCTAATTGTTTTATCATTTCATCGTCTTTTTTTTATTTTTTTCTAATTCTGTTAGTATATCTGATTATGTTACTCGATTCACTGATCTTGTGGATCAATTATCCTCCTATTCACCCAAACATGATTCCCTCTTTTACACTATGCATTCCATGGATGGGTTACGTTCTGATATCAAGTCTGTACTTCTCATTCAACGCCCGAAAATCTTGGATACTGCTTCCACCTTGGCTTTGTTGCAGGAGTAGGTGTCCCCGGCATCGTACTCGCATCCCACGCATTCTGGTGATTGGCCATCGTCCGTGCGTACTGCCTCGACCTCCAAGCACCCGCTGCCGCTGCCTCCTCTGCCATGCCTAGACAAAGCAGTGCTGCTTGCACCAGTGGACAAGCCTCTGACATCATCATCGACCACCTCCACACTGGTCGCGCACAAGACGTACCAGCGTGCCCTCCGCCTCTGCTTCAAATACGGCGCTAAATGGTCTAAGGACCACAAGTGCCCTCCTAAGGTCTTGCTCACCATGGAGGCCATTTGTGATTCGTTCGTAGACTCTAATGATGTCACCGAACCATCGTGTGCTGACAAGGCCGAGTCTGCTTAGTTGTTTCTAGCTATTTCCAAGGTCTCTGTTGACACTTCTTAGCGTCGCTACCAGGTTTGTATCCCCGGCAGCGGCGCTAGAAATGCGTATTGATATTTCTTATGCTCAAGTAGATAATTCCGCAAGCGCATAGAATATCGTTATAGCATTTCACCTAGGAGTATTCCAGAGTATCGTATTTATCCACAGTAAAGCAATGGTTAAAGATGGTGACAGTTAACCATCGCATGTCTACCAACTAGTATACCGATTAGACTAATGTGGGGGTAAGTGATATACAATGAAGTGAAGTGACACACAAAGACCCTATCATGAATAAGTAAAGCAGACGCATAATTAAGTAGGGGGACAATAATAAAGGGAACACAAGAATCCTAAGTTACTTCTATTCAAGCACTACTTTAGCTAGTGACTGTGGTTATACAGATAAACCAAGATAATGCGAGGTAGGATGCCATAACAATTTGGACGTACCCGCCCCAAACTCACCCAGAGGGTTGATCGGCCACAAAGCACCTCTACCCTATGATTTAACAACTAGATCTATTGTGGGGAAATACATAGGATGGACATGGCTGTCACCACCTGCCAACTACCCTAATTTATCCAGAGACCTAGCCACGTTGCAAGGTACTTGATAGTATAAGCACCACGCTTACACTATTTGATACTACCCTAGCCTCACGTTAAGACTAGAGCATCAACTAGTGACGAACAACCCATGCTATAGAGAGCCCACTTATCACAAGAGTATAAGCATAACCAAAGTATAACTAAAGAACAAGACTAGTATATAAAGTAAAAGACTTAAAATAATACTCGCATAGAAAGTAACATACTAAAATAAATAAAGTACTTACAAGAGAAAGACAAAGCTATATCACACTCCTAAAGACTACTCCAGAGCTCCCACCAAGTCTGCTACTACTAGAAGAGCTACATCTTGATAGAGTAGAGAGACAGCTACATTTCTTGTGTAGTGTAGGTGTGTAGGGGTGTGTTACAAGTGAGGAAGAGGGGTCCTATTTATAGCCTAAGGTGGAGTAGGAGCTACTCCAATGCCACATCATCGATCCGTGTGACACCCTCTCCTTGCCCTTGGATCAAACCAACCTTGAACCGCCTTAAACTGATGCATAGGATTGCACCCAAGTGTGTTTCCTTGCATGTGTCCGAAGGAGAGGCGGTGGAACCACTGAGGGGTGCCGGGCGGTGTGGGTAGGGTGTTGGCCGATGGGCCACTATGGAGTGGGCCCTCCTCTTTTGGTGTGGGGCCCCTTGGGTTGTAGTAGAGTGTGGGTATGGTCGTATTTTGTCCATTTGAGCACTGACATACCGCATGGTGAGTCACCAATCCATGTGATGCCTCTTTTTGACCCTTGATCATGCACTGACTTGGAATCAACGGT